TCTCCAGCCACACCTCCCCCAGCCTGTATCTGATAGGTTTCTTACGTTATCAGATGGAAGAATCCAGCTAATAAGACATACAAATCACTCATTCTGTATCACTTACTAACAAGAGACTGACAGCACATTAGCCTAATGAGTTTTATCCTAGTGGTGCAGAATTCAAGGTCGGAGGTTAAGTGAGAGGCAGCAGAAAGTCCCATGAACATGCAGGAACAAGAAGACATTTCAGGGTCAAGTCTTTCCACTCGCTTCCTCTTTCCCAACTCACAATTAGGTCAACATTTGCAACTTTCAGAGAGTGGCAGTGCAACCACCTTACCTCAGTGCTGATCTGCGCTGGTATGCTGACAAACTCTGGATTTGAAGCGAACGCCGTCAGGTTTTCCACAGCCTCTATCAAAGGTGCGGTGGCAACTCTGCACTTGTTGCGGTTCTCTTCAGAGAAATCGCCATCCAGGGCCTTAAAATTAAATGACTGAGTTCAGTTTGAATTGATTTCTTTGCAAAATTGAAGGAAGATAGTTTAATTCTACATAGTTTTAAGCTGTTGAACATTTCTGACATTTGAAGGTTCCTCCACAAACACGGCTGACGGAATGAATGATCTTTCAAGCATATGTTTCTTTCCTCAGCTGATTATTGACCCTGAGACTACTGCTTTGCTTCACAAGACTGAGTACATATTTTCTACCACTGCACTGATTACTCTCTTAAATTGTGTCTCAGCATCTCATGCTCTAAATGGTAGAAATTGCTAACGAGGCATTTTTTTCCTACAGACTGATTTAATTATCTTAACCACACCAATAATTTATTGCTCTCATTTTTGCATGAGTCAACTAATCCCTTTCATAATCTCAGAGGAAAGATTTCAATATGAAGGACGTTCTGTGTAATATGATAGAACCTTTGATTCCTAAGAGCGTAACTACTTTAAAAGACTTTCAGTAGCAGATGAGTTAATGGCTTTCAGAAGGGTTTAGAATCATGAATCCTCTACAGCTTAACAAGAGTTACTTTTGCCTGTGTGAGGAAAAACTATCCCCTGCCAAATGGCAGGCAGGTGTCTGTAAAATAAGAAATTGCTATTAGCAGGAGACTATTAAACAGCAGTGACAGAAAATGCTTCTGTTTGGTTCCCAGTACTATTTGCTGCTTTATTTTTCTCTTACAAATGTAGTAAAGCTGTCAGAAATATCTCCACAAATGTCCATATGAGCAAGTGACAGCGCTAAAACCCTTCACATTCAGTCGCTGGCAAATCGTTCTCGTGGTGCAAGCTCCTTCAGTACATCATCACACAGAGATGTCTCACACTGGGTGGGCCAGCTGCCTCTCCTAATCCTAATATCATCCAGTGCTTTCCCTCTCAACTACAGCTCAATTATAACACTGAACATGTTTTCCAGTTCAGGTCTTCAAAAATGTAATTATTAATTTCTTAAATCATCCATATCACAGAAGAGAAAAAGATTATTTCTAGCTGCTCTGATTCTGTCTCAGCAGAAAAAAAAATAAAATCACAAAGGAAGAAAGAAACAATTAAGTAGCATTTGTACCTTGATTGTTTTAACCAAGTTAGCAGTGCTGTTTGCAACTTCCTTGGCAGACTGCACAAAGTGTCTTTTGGCAACAGGATTTGCGGTCTTTGATGAAGCAATGCGGCAGGCGTTGCACAAAGCAGAAGTATGTTTGGCCACAATTGTGGCAGCTGATAATACCTGTAAAAACAGATGGCACAAAACAAGCAGATTGTCAAAGACGCGTGACAGTTACCATCCTCCAGCTCTGCAAAGTCACAGTTCAAAGCCACGCGACAGTTTCCAACCAGAACTCCTTTGCTTGATCGCAAATAAAGCGGTCACGCATCCCAACAACGATGGTGTCACTGCAATCGTCTGGATTCACCTGTGATGGGCTGCTTGCTGGATCTACCAAGTTCTGGCAAGCCATCTGGATCGCTTGATTGGCTCTGGCAAACTGAATTGGGTCAACAAGACCTTGCTGACCAGCCTGACTGTTTGGATCCGAGATGCCAACCAGGTAAGCAGCCTAGAAACGGAAAAAGGGAGAAAAACAATCCTAAGAATTAACGCTAAATTCATCTCGGTATTTTGATAAGCTTGCTGTATGTCATAGCGCGTGGTGGTCAGGGATTATCCAGATATCATACTGTGATGTACTATTACTTTGGGTTTTTTAGAATAAATCTCCACAGAAGTTCCATGTCTCTTAACAAGGAGGAATTGTCTGAACTATCAAAATCGTACTTAAAGACTTCTTGATGATTTCACATCACAGATACAACTATTTGCCACCCTGATATGCCAGTAAGGCAATGAAGCCTCAGGTACAGAGGAGATTAAGCTTGTACTGAGACATTCAATATTTGGGGAAATCAAGTGGTTTCCAGGTGTGGAGCATGACGCCCCACAGCCAAATCCTGCACTGAAGAGGCTGTTTCAGCTCTCAAAAAGTTCAAGTTGCCCAGTTATCAGACCAGTGAAACCAGAATGATGAGTCCCAGACTCTAGTTTGTTCAAGTAGCTTAAAAATTTTGGTTACTCTCAAAGTATCTGAACAGCTGAAAGAGGTTGCTTATTATTTCAAATGTCTAAAATAAGTACAAACTATTTTTAAAAACTTTTACAAATTGTACCACACTAGATTCATTTATTTTAACTGTGTCTGGTTTTTGTATACTTGTGCTTGAGCTACAAACATAAATTCCATATGCTGCAGCTTCGACATTTGCTTTATCCTCAAGAAGTTTCCTTCTTGATGTCATTTCCTTCCCTTAGTCAATACCACGTCACTGCACTCTGCTGCTTCTGCAATGCACGGCAGGGTACGCACAATTTCTGTGGATTTATACAGAGCATGCTGGGTACTACAAGGTCACCATTTGTTTGGCCACAAGGAAGTGAATCTCAGATTTAGACACCCACAACAAGAGCTTGCTAAAAAAAAAATTTAATTAAAAAAAATCAAAATGCACACTTGCTTTACAGACTTCGGTAGCTTACCTGAGCTGCTGCCTCTGTGAGGCCACAAAGAGCTTTGGATGCGACTCCAACACATTCTCCGAAGACTAAAAGATCCCCAGTTTTTGCATTTTGGGAAATGCCCGCCATTGATTCTCCAAGAACCTCAGAAATTAAAAAAAAAAACAGTTACTGTCCCAAAATGCTTCCCTACCACTCAAAGGCAAGTCTTTCCTGCTCTTGAGCCAGTTCTGGCCCACAAACCTCTTTGACTACATACAAAATTAACCCTCATGATTTTTGCTGTTATCTACTAGGAATCACAGCTAGCCTGGCATTAGCTGTATCTCCCAGATTGCAGAACATGCCAATCAATCCTGCAGATGCTGTTGACACATCCAGGATCATCTTTGCCCTCAGACTCACTAAAACTCAGGAGAAATGCAACCTCATCTAGTCTGCTGAAACTATCAGAATGTCAGAATACACATTAATTCCCGCAGTGTTTCCCACTGAATTCAGTTATTTTCTTTGAACGTTCAAAATAGGCCTGACTGCAGTAGAGCACTAGATGCAAGATGACCCGCACATCCACTAAGCTCTTTCTTTATGCTCTAGAGGAGGAAGGCTCTGAGACAATTCCAACACATCACGTAATGAGGACATCAAAAGTGAAGCTTCCAAGAAAGATGTAGAGCATGGGATGTTTCAAAATAACCTAAGAGATTTCACACAGATTTTCTGATGCACTGGAACATCTGGACTGCTCAGACATTTCTCAAAGCTGTTCTGCACAGAAGGATACAACAGTATTTTCACTGCAAAGCCTCCCATTTATGCTTTGGGACATTCTACCATAGCTGCAGTCAAAATACCTCATGGAAGTATGACCTGCTGTCTAATGCACAGCAGAGGAAGGGAGAGAGGGCAAAACTTTAACAGCGCTGCATACCTGTCAGTTCAAAATTGCTTACCACAGCAATAAGAGAGCAAAATCTGAAATTACCTGTACGAGACCTATGTCAGGCTAAGTTTTGTCATGGAATGCAGAAAACATTTTTACTATAAACACTGTTCTGTGTTTCTAACATGTTAGATAAGCACGTGGAAACTTCCAATGATCAAAACACATTTTACAGTTGGCACAGAGGTAGGAAAAGGAAATTACCTTTGAGTTTTCCATTACGCCCTCAATACAGTCAAAATATGAGAGATCACTCACAGGTTCATTGGGGTTATCCAGCATTCCCTTAACTGTCTGAAATAATGAAAGAAACTTTGATTATCGACAGAGCCTGAAATACTGAACTGAGAGCAACACAGCCCACGACCACTATCCTGCTTATGCCAGTGTAATCTTACAACTTCGTGTCCAGCAAGCAAACAAAACTACACGCTTACTGAGGGCTCCCATACAGGTGAGTGTGCTAAACATTAAATGATACCCTACATGAACTGAACTGTGGGCTTCCAACCTGTCGGAAGTACAGGCTAATGTGCTTTACCTTGTGTTTGTGATGAGTGATCTATGTTAGTGATGCTCAGCTGACACAAGGTAATCTGGCTTTCTGTCCGTTGTCAACAGCTTAACACATGTTTTCACTACTATTTCAAACTTCATAAATGGATTGATAGGAAAAATAGAGTGATAGGAAAACCAGCTACCATTTGCTAAGGACTGTCTAGAGACAAAAAGGGTCCAAAGTAAGTGCAAGTCAACCCTCTGTCTGCCTCTTACTACCGTCAATAGATTCCACCAACATAGCTCTCTCTGCCAGCTGACTACATAGACTAACTGGCTTTAAAATCTTTTTTTGAGGTGATACCGGTTCCTGGAAATAATAACATGAATGTAAGTAAGTCGTGTATTCGTCAAGAATAATCAACACATTTAGATGATAACAAAACCTTTAAGAAGCTGTGAAATCCAGCAGATTAATTCTTTTTTACATAAAAAAACCCTGCAACATGTCTTTTTTCAAGTCTGGAGGAATACTATTCTCTGCCAAGTATCAGGCAGAAAGGACTTTTAATCATTCCAATGAAAGTGAAATTGCTAAGAATAGAACGATACTGAAAACCTCTGAGGTTTGCCTTCTACCTGAAGTAAATCTAGGCATGATTTTAAACCCTCAGATTTTTCTCATAACTAAACTTCTAACATTAAGATACATTCCCTTTAATTCAAAGGATGCTATTTCCTACTATTTAAGCAGCTGTGTCTGTGACCAGTGCACAACCTTAGAATTAAGTCTTTCAACTGACCTGCTACCCACCATTTAGTCAGCCCAAAACTTCTCTCATGAAGGAGAACAGGCCTTGCAAAAATCCATATTGACACACACGTCATATCAGCTTGGCTGTGACAAGGCAGATACAAGGCATCAAAAAATCTACGCTATGAGACGGCAGGGTAAAAGATGGTAAACATCATCCTAAAGTGGGATATCGATAACAACATTCTATAAGCAGAAAAATCAAGATACTGTAGCTGCATCTAGTGAGTGTTGCTAGTAGGAAGGTCCATTTTGTCTTGACTCTTCCTTAATTCACAGTAAGTACAAATAATAAGTACTAAACTGTACCTTTTGAGGGGCAGGGACAGGGCAGCTAATTTCATTCTGGACAGAACTAGTTGTTCACAGAGGCTCTACGCTTACGCCACATGCAATTAAATCACTGCCACAGATACCAAGTGAGAAGACAAGGACAGCAGCTAATGGTACAAAGATGACAAAGACAATCAACATTTTGGGTGAAATGTAGTAATACCTCCAGTTCTCTGAGTGCATTATCACATTCCTTCTGCCCAGGAGCTTGCTGGGTGCACAGTGTGATGAGCTGGTTTATACTCTCAGTCACCGCTCTAGGGAGAATAGAAGAAAAAAGAAAGGTCTATTTTGAAGTTAAACTATTCTTATTAAAACTTTTGTTTCAGTAATTGTACACTGCACAAAGATTTAAAGCTTTCATATTCTACTACATTTTCTCTTTTCAGTATTTGGGGATTAACTGAATGTTCAACAGTTCACCTATAAACAGGTCACCTAGAGACCTCTAATGTACCAAGCTTCATGGGAGCAAAAACATTCTCGCTAGAGCATTTGATGGTGATCCATGCCTGAAAAATCTATCCCTTCAGTGCAAACAATTGTGAAGTTAGTCCAGAAGAAACAGGAGTTCCATCTCGCCTGCAGCAACAAGCACGTTGGGTGTCTGTGTAAGGTTTTGGCTGCAGGGGTGGCCCTGGGAGAAGAAGCCAGGGGTTGCTCTGTGCCGGGCACAGCTGGGTCCAGCAGCCCCACGGCAGGACACGGCCGAGACCAGCAGCCAAACTAGGAAAAGACTGGTGAGGAAGAGCAAAACACCACACGGCCGTAGGGCCAAGGCCAACCCACCACACTAGCACAGCTGCTAAAAGGTATCAGCACTTCTCCAGGTCTGACAGCAACTGAACCATTTCTCAGCTAGCACCACAAAAGTCTTAAAGACACAGAAACAAGTGGCCACTACACAAAAAAGGTGCTTCAATGTAATACTATATACCCTTCGCTAACAAACTCTTGTGTCTCATCTGACACATGCACACCCAATCCTGCTACACATTGCTGTGATCTGTTACCAAGTTGTTTTTTTTCTCTTTAATCATTGATATTCTGAGACAACATTCATTACCTCACTTAGGTTTAAATCCATAACAAACAGGGTATTTTTGCATTACCTTTCTAAGAGAGTTCACAGTTCTGGTGCTCTTGAACACATACAATATAGGCACTATTTGCATTTTTTGCTGAACACTCTGATAGTAAGCGAAATTCATTATAACTACATTCTTTTCAGAATAATGGCTAACCACAGGAAAGCAGCTTCTGGAAGAAGAGGCTCTGCAGGAGGAAGTAGAAGTCTGCTACTCCTTGTTATTAATCAAAGATCATTTTTTACCACTTGATACCACAATTGGTAATATCAACAACATGATTACCTAGATGTACAGTACCGTGCTTTTACAGCTAGAGGTAACATGATGTGCTTATATATACACATCAGGTTTTATGTTTAATTCTAGGGCAAAAAGAATGGATACTGATAGACACGTTTAACTGAAAATCCTACCCTTTTTCAGTAGCTTTGGTGAGCCTTTTAGGATACATATGTCACCTTGTGTCTGGTTTGGCACGCTGTATTATACACACATAGTCCTGCTACGTATTTACATAGCCTGTTATCAAGTTTGGGTTTTTTTCTTTAACTAAACATTGATAATCTCTGAGTCGATGTGTATGTGTACATACAAATATTTTTACAATTGCTGTCTATCTCTGAAAAACAACATGCACGGATCCACCAACGTAACACCAATGTAAACGGTAAATTCTCAACCTCCTGAATACCAGTGATTTCTATGCATCGGAAAAATGTCATTGCATGCAGACATATGAATAGATTCACTCCTAGAGAATTTATTTTTTTCAGATTTTAATCTAAGAGAGACAATGCATGGTGACTCAGAGAATATCAACAACTAAAGAAAAACATACAGAAACTAACAACTAACTAGGCTTCACTGGGGACACTAACTTCCCCTGTGCTCCAAACAGGAATGCTCCAAGCCTAAAGCAGAAGTTTGTAGCACTCTGACTGTGGCAATAACAAAAGCTCATGCAACAAAATCACTTTTAAGCAGTGAGCCTTTGATTACCTACAATTTTCCTAGAAGATACTTCTTTCTGGGGAGACAAGATGGTTGCCACAACACTTATTTTTTTCTAACAAACATGAGAAAGTAAAGTAGCATAACTTCTTGAAGAAGGCCTTTATTAAAGGAGGAGATTTATTTTTAAAAAATAAAGTTACGGCAGTTAGAACAGGATTATTTCAAGGTCCAGAACAAGCATCAACTACATTATCCTCAGGGAAGTAACAGTCTTCATCTCTAGACCAATCTTTGTGGCTGTAAGCATTCTGGAAGACAATATTGCAAGTCACATCCACACAATTTCAGACTTTCATCTGATTTAATGTTGGTGTTTCTAAGTGTGATGTCTGTCTGTCCTTCAGCAGTCCTCTTCCAGTTTGGGAACCTGACCATTCCGTTTACCAACTTAAATGACGGAACAAAAAGTCATTTCAGGGAAAAAAATGCATTGTGAAAAGGATTTGACAAAGTGAAGGAGTGGTGATCACCCAGTCAAACACTGAAATGCAGTGTTATTTTTCACATAAACACTGCGCACCTTGACTGTGAAACAGGGTCCACAAGGTGAAATTCAGGGTATGGCTGACAGAATCCTGAAGGTAAGGGTATCTTCCACCAGACAAACATGTCACCTAATCCTTTCAAGCATTCTTGTTCATACACACTGCTAGTGCTGGGTAACTACAACATGATTTTTAAGCACATTCTATTCAAGAACATTATTGCATTTCTTTTCTTTGTTAGGGATTGAGAGGCTATTGCCTTGTCAGACCACAGAAGGTTAAGAAACCCAGTAGGTAACACAAACTAATCCCTTTCAAAAACCAGGCCAACTCTTCCAACTGCTGGTTCTTAATTGCACCAAGGGTGGCGAGGTACGCCAGCTAAGGAATTACTCCAAAATAAGCAATTTTGCCCTGGCCTATTTCCATTAACATAGAACTGCAGGTTCCCACCACTCAGTTAACTGTGAACAGCAGAATACATAAACACCTTATAAATATCACCAAGAAAAGCAAATATCTTAGGAAAACCTAAAGCAAGCAACTCATCCTTACCTTGCTGCTGCTGCTAAGAGGTTCTTAGCATTAGGAGCTCCTGGATCAACAGACAGAGATTTGGCAGCTAGTAACAGCTTGCTGGAAGCCATAGAGATGCTCTTGAGGTTACCTATTACTTGAATCTGGTCCTCTTTAGTCTGAAAAGCCACAGCAGCATAACATTAAGTACAGAGCTCACAACAGAGTGTGCTAAAACCACGTTTGGATACTCAGTTTGTTTATCCACCTGAAACCACTGAAGTGCAGGGGATGAGTCCAGAGAAGGGACATGGACCAAAGGCTCCGTTCATCCAGACAGCCAGGTGCCTCCAGCTTCACTCACATAGCGGAAAATGAAAGCCGTATAACAAAGAGCTTGGTTTCTCACAATGGCAGCATTCACAAATGAGCAACGGATAAACTTTACTACTTGTTGAACAATGCTTTTTGTTGTCAAGACTCTCATGTGTCTCTGCCTGGCACAACTGATCCACATTATTCCGTGTACCCTCTCTGTATTCTAGCATCCTCTGTGTAACCCACAGGCTCTCCAGCATCTAACTGGGGTTACTCACACGCAAAGATCCCTCCAGAAAGTTCTCTATCCCAAGAAAATAAATTTCTATAAGCCTACTTTGGTAACCATTCTGACTTAGATGTTCCAGTACTTTAAGTCATCGCTTGAAAAGGAAAAACTGCATATCTGTACAGTTAAAGGGCAGTACTGCATTAACACACAACGAGCTGTGACTAGATTCTTCTGTCGATGATCAGTAGAACGGGATTTGTTCTTTCCAATGGTCTGTTCAGGGTTTTACGTAAAAAGGTTACACATTACTCAGCTGATGTGAATAGCCTTTACCTCTACACCTACATTCTGCTTTCTCCTTATCCCAGCATTTTTCTGGGCATCCAAAATACCTGGTCATGCTTCTGTTCAGGCCAAGACATCAGACACAGACAGAAGGCATCCTCTGTCAAAAGACCAGCCATTAGTAACAAAAATGGTTGCCGTCCCGTGTCAGCAGGATAAGCAAATCCGCAAGGGCCACAGGGTCATCAGCATCCGGAATTCTCTTTCCAAGGAATTATCTGCAGTATCATTTCTCCCTTTGTCTTCATTGAATTGCCTCAAACAGTCTGAAAGTCAATCAAACCCACAGCTAAAACCACAGTCAGCTTCCTAACTCCTACTCCAGCTCAGAGAATCGCCTGGTATTTGGTGGCTAACTCATTTCATGGATCTGGAACCTGAAGGATTAAGGCTTTGATGAAGAATAATCAGCAGTCATTGTCCCATCTCTCTACTCAGCTCTATCTACAAAGAATCTGCTCTACAGAGACACTTCATGAATGACTTCAAAGGACTTAAACACTCAAGACTTTCTGTCTAGTTTTCTTTTGGTAACTATTTCTTAGGTTTGCAAGTTCCTCCTACTAACTGGGGCAAAATAGTCTGCAGAGTACTTTCCCTGCAAGTCCTCCTAGCTCTCCTGGTACATGGTTCTTCTTTATATGCTGCTGTTTGTCATGCTAAATCACCTCCAAACGACCAGTTAGTGTAATCCGGTACAGCTAAAACCCAGCAAAACAAAACGAAGGCGGTATCTCCAAATTGAGGTGAGTACCTAGACTACAGGTAACAAGCTAGCTAATGACAGCATTCCTGATTGTTACTTAGTTCATCAGAATCAAAGCAGGACAGATTTTCACAGAATTACAGAACTGTTCGGGTTAGAAGGGACCAAATAAAGATCACCTCGTTCCAATCCCGCTGCCATGGCCGGACACACCTTCCACTAGATCAGGTGGCTCAATTTCTTCCTAATATCTAGATCTATCCTCTTTCAGTTGGAAACCATTAATTCTTGTCCTACCAGTACAGCCCCTGATGAAGAGTCCCTCCGTTTCTTTCCTGTAACTGCAAGGTCTGTAAGGTCTCCCCAGACCTTTTAAATCGCTAAACAGAAGTCCAGATATTTGCTGTCAGATCCATGGCATTTTAGCCAGCCCTCTTCAAATACTTGTTCCACTCTGCAGCAGGTCCACAGCAGCACATGCCATAAGACTAGCAAGTCTGGAATCCAAATGCATCTTTTTCTCCCTCTACTTGAAGCATTTGAAAATTAGCAAAGAAAAGTGCTAAATTTCAGCTAGTGTTCACAAATTATGCTCCATGGAGGTTCTACCAAAATAGAAGCAACCCTTTCCATAAGCTTTGAGAGACTCAGCTCACCTTTGTATGTTCAGATGTACAGCTCGAATTAGTTAGCAGTCCAAACTAGACAGTAACACACAGTAATATTTCTGAATGGGCACAGGAATAAATACCAGCACCCCGCATAAGACACAAATGCTGAGTCAACTTCGGTCCAGATAACCAGTTATGGATGACTGCTTCATAGCAAACATCACCTGTCGTATTTGGGTAGGCTCACGCTAGCACATTGTCCTGTGCTACTGGAAAATCAAGATACTGCACCAGAAGGTACTATGCCAAGACAATCCTTAGTTCCAACTAGCAAGATAAAAAACTTACTTGTGCTTGGCCAGCCATTTCAATACCAGCATCAAGAAATTCATCGAAATCATCACTGAATTTTCCAGAGGCTGCAGCCAGTTCCCCACTTTGGCCCCGTGTAGCATGGACAACTTCTCCTGCTGACTGGTTCAGGTCTGCCGCTGCCTGGTTCAGTTCACTTTGAGCTTCTTGAAACGACTTGGAACTTGGAGGTAGCTGCAAGAGACCAAGTGCTGTGTTTTATTGTCTGTCACGTCACACTGGCCCTTCATGACCGGGAAGTTCAGCACGCTTCAAGAACCCTAAATGCAGTACAGCAGTGAGCTTCACATGCAAGCTAGAAGGGAGTTCTGGAACTGGACTGCTAGTGATTCAGCTCCGAACGCTGAGTAGTCCAGCTATGAGACACTATCAGCCAGAAATCTATATAACAACCTTAGTCCCACTGTTTCTTTTGAGAGACACACAAGTGCATAAGCCTGTCAAGAGACAGAGAAGAGAGCTGTTTTACAGTTCAACCGCAAAATTCAAAGTGATGAACTCATTGGCAAAGTTGGAAAGTGTTTGTCTCCAAGTCACCGTGTGCTTCCACAGACAAGCCTTCTAGAACAGCACAGAAGTCTTAGCAGCTCTTCACAATGACTTCAAATTCCTGACTTGGTTTTACCAAAAGGCATTGCACAAACATATCAAAATACAATTCCTCCGTCACTCATAGGCTGCCACGATCACTGGCAGGTGCAGAAAAAAGTTGGTCAGCTCACATAACCTTCTGGCACATTACCTGTGCATAAAGGTTGGTGGGTTTTTTTGACATGGATGCATTTAAACAGAAATATAACAACTCCTCTTGCACAAAGCAACCAGAGGCACCATTTTTTTCTAGCTGACCACAATGCTCCTTCAAGTTGAGCACTTCCAGGTGGGAGATAGACTATAATTTTCTCACTTTCATATTCTTCAAAGCGTTAAGTCACAGTTGGCATTTTCAAAAAACCAAACTAAAGGTGATCTACCAACAACAACTTTAATACTGCCTTTACAAGCCAGACACGTTTTGCCTTTCCCCTAAACCAGAAGAACAGCATTTCAGCCAAAGTAGCAGGTACTTAAAGCTGCATCAACTTAAATAAAACTGATATGAAGTACACTTAGGGCACACTTGGACACATGGGGAACCCAGATCTGCTTTCAGTTCTCTGACATTTATTTCTATGTTAAAAGGCATCTCACCGAATCAACAAGGAGCTTCTTGCTAGATTCCCCAATACTCTTCAAGGCCACATCCACATCCTTTTGTCCAGGCAAACAATTTACACAGTTATTCAAGGAGTGAGACACTGCTTTTGCCACCTAGAACACATGAACAAGCACATCCACACGGAGCGAGGGTGAAGTGGTCATTTATTTAATAGGAAGCACGTTCTATAGTGAGCAATTCCTACATTCCAATTCTAACAAGACCATTTTTGAGATTTGCGACTTCCTCGTTTTGCTCACCCACAGTCTAGCAGCAGTCTTGATTTCTGCTCACCCATTTGATAGGAAGGTGTTGGCAGGGCAGCCCCACAGCTGCTCCTGGCACCTGGGACAAATGCAGCAGCACTACAGGTAAGGTAATGCCCCTGGAATTAACTATACACTAATCACAAGAACCCCTTGCACACTGCTTTTATCAAAGTCCTGATTAAAACCAACACCTCCTCATGAGAAATTGTTTAAAATAGGCCAATTATAGAACTTTTCAAACCATTAAAAAAGAATGTGTTACTCCTCAAAGTCTTCAAAAGCAGTGGTGCCAAACATGTGCAAAACTTGCATTCCCTTTTTGAATGTAACATGAATACAGCTCCTTCATTTGACAACGATTGATTTAACAGTTTCAGTTTTTGCAGTCAAGCAGCCTGCTCAAATACGTGTGGGAAAAGCACTTAACTGCACCTTTGAACACGTGTATTCTTCTATAAGATGACTAAAATATCATACTTCACACCATCTGCATTGCTTAACATAAGCATGATGTTACTGTGTGACAGCTGCTGGAAGGAATAGAAAGCTGACATTTCTTGCAGCCTTATTTCCTGTTGTTCTCTCATTATCTAACACTGCATTCTACATAATCCCACTGGGTGTCTGATAATTCATGCGGCTGCTCAAGCCAGAACTCACCTGGGCTAATCTCTGCTGACTGTCTGCATCCCCTGGTGCAGCCAGGGCCTGCTTTGCCTCCTGAATAAGCATAGCAGAGCCTTCCATGACATCCCTCGCCGAATCCAACATCGCATGTGCTGCCACAGGGTCTGTAGTAGATGCTGCAACCCCCCGAGCTGCCTGAGCCAAAGTCTTCAAAGCCTGAGCAGTTTCTCTGGCAGCAACTCCTAAGTTCAGATTTCATCAAGGATTCTATTAGTACCCTTAAAGACAATCTTTGTATTTCACAATAGATGCATTTGCATGTAACGATCCCATTGCAAAATCACATTGCAAGCAGAGTTTAAAAGAAAATCTTGAAACAAGAACACATTCGCAATACGCAGCATTATTTGCCTAGAAAAATGCTTGCAGTGAAGCCACAAAGTAAATATTATACCCCAAAGGCCACATTCCAGGCACAACTCTACATCAGTGACTAACTCTTAGTGAAGCACTGAAAAAGAAGAAAGTTTAAAACCTGGAAACGAAGAAAAACTTGTACTGCAGTAATGGGGGAAAGTGATTATCTGCAGGAATGGTGTACATGAGTTCAGAGTCACAGCATCAATCCTGCTTCTGAAAATGCAGCTTTGGATTTTTTAGGGAATAAACACACCAATAGCTTAAGTTCAAGCAACCAAAAAAAAAGAAAGCCATCTTTGGGATGATATAACTCAAAATAATCCAACATTGCCCTGAACACCAGCTCACAAAAATAATTAAAAGTCACAGAGAGGATGTCAAGAAACTAGTTTGTGATCTGTCTGATCAACATTATAGGACATTCAGCAGCACTAGCACTAAGGCACACAGAATAATAGTCCCAAGTTTTGTGGTTTTGAAATTTAACACAGGCCTTACTGAAAACCTCTTCTATGAGACCTTAATCAGCACAGTCTAGTCAACAGCATATGCAGGTGGCATATTTTGGGTGAAAACATTAAAATCATGCTAGTCCTACCATAATAAAGCTATAGAAAAGGTTCACACTTGCAGTAAAAGACCTCTTGGCCATCCATATTTAGGCCTCACAAATAATTAGAATGTTCCAATATCCCTACTGTAAGTGTTTAGAAAGCTGGGACATCACAACCAAGTGCAACGCACAAAGTAGCCATGTTAGCATTGTAAAACCAGTGCCATTTTTCAATCAACTGGTCATTTTTAAATGCTTAAACTTTCAAGATAATGAAAAGCAATACCATATGTAAAAAATAAATAAATAACAAATAAATAAAGCCAAGCTAGGCAGAGAAATAGTACTGCCCAGACTGCAGTTAGAACCTCTCTACTGGACACACCACAAAGAGCTTTCTACATTCTTAATTTAAAGAAAATTTCAGCATAAATAGCCACACCTTTTGTTACCTTTATCTAGAGCATCAGTAACCATCTTCTAAGCTTGACCCAATTTATCAGAGCACCACAAAACGAAAAGGTTTGATTGTTTTACCTTCAGTTTTGTGCTGCATTCAGCATCTACAATGACTTTTGTTACAAAGTGAAAAGAAACTTACTGTGACAGCTGCAGACCAGAGGGAATTATTAAATAGTGAATATATGCTGTAAAGAATTTTTACCATAGGGAAGCTACAGAATGTTGCAATACCTGCAAACATGGCACTTGCTTGAGCACACATCAGTTTTTTGCAAAACAAGACGGTAGGAGAGAGAAAATAGCTTCTATGAGCTTTGAAAAGCAACTCACTGCTTTGTAGGACGCCCCAACCAAACAGCCGCTAGATTTAACTACTCCATATCAGCTGCAAATCATCTGCATTCCTCTGCCAGATACCCAGGGCTAACTCCTGCATAACTGCGTGATAGAGGTGCGAGCCATCTTAATTCAATTACTTCTGCTCCAAATGAAAGCTACTGTCAGTTATATAGTTCTGATGCCATTAACACCCATGAAGTGGTAATTGCAGTAATGCCTTCTATCAGTATTAAAAACATAAAATCCTACAGTAGCATTTGTATCAACAGCTTTCATTTCTTACAGAAATATGGAGAGAGAACATTTTACCATCTACATTTTCTGTGCTAAAAGGAGCATTTTCCTTATGATGGTGGTTTTGGTTTCTAAAATACAGGTGCAAAAACAAATTGACGGATTAATGTGCTCACATTCCCTGCTGACTTTAACTCAAACGATGCAAATGTGGTCAATGAGTCAGAGACACCAGCTGCACTATACATGTAAACTGGTAACATCCAACAGGCAATGCAGGTTTAAAACATCACCAGGCTATCCCAAGAATGTTTGCATCCTGTTCTTAGGGTATTTTTTTGAAGCACCTTTTAACCTTCTGAAACGACACAGCAATATTTCCAGTGGCACTGACCTTTACACTTCATTACATCTCAGTTCTGCCCTTCACAGATTTTCAGTGGCATATATGTACAAAACCAACAGATCCATTCAGATTACATACAGACACCCAGCAGGTTGCAACACTACTCTTTCATAAAGCACATTATTCACACCAGGAATTCCCAGTAACTTGTCACTATCAGCATAAAATCAAGAAAAGTAAATCCTCAATTTAATTACTCTGTGAGAAGAAAACCTTCTATCAAGTATTTTACGGAAAGCAAAGGTTTCGTAGAGACATTATGAACAAAACACTACCTGTGTAGTGCTCATTGCCTTGAGCAGCACAAGTTAGCAGCTGGGCCATCGATGAACCGACTGCTTTGGATGTACTTCCAAGGTCCTGAGTGCATTTCTCAAGCTGTGAAAAATTGCAAAGGAGAAAATTCTTTGTTTAAGATCAACTAAAACACATTTGTTTTTTCAACAGTACTATGAAAACTCCTCATTCCACAAAACCCAAGTTTTTACCTCCGCTATCAAATACACACACAGTTTTCCTGAAACCTTGCTAGCATGCGTTCCCTGTCCAGGGTGAAATATATTAACATATTAGATAACATGGACAAAAATGTATAAGTAGCAATGGAAAACAGTACCTTCATCTAAGGAGAACGGGTTTTCTTACCAAATACATTTCACTTTCTGAGCCTACCAGGACGGACAGTCTTAGAACAACTGAGTTCTCATCTTTGTCACTAATGAAAACAAATTGTTTGCCAAGAAAAGACTGAAACGTTTCTGTTACTAAATGGTAATTTGCACAACAGAAAAGGAGGCCCTGCAGTCCCACGAGCGATGCTGCTACCAGAACATGCTTTTGGTCTAGCAGGAATATATAACCCTTGGAAGAGAGTTAGTGTAAAATCCTAACAGCATCATCATGATCCAAAGATTCACAACTTGTTTTGCCTCTGACGCTTAAAATTTTAACAGCTAACTTTGTTTTTTTTTTAAATGAAGAACATCCTTCCCCAATTACCGTTTCTCCTGGGAGAGGTTTTAGCTGTCCATCCACAGCTGCCATCTTCGCATCTTGCAGTTCATTTTTGAGTGTCTGGACTGTATTCAAAGCAGAATCAATTTCCATCGGGCCACATGCTTCATGAGCCTATTCAGAAATCAGATCAATATCACTGTTAGCAGCTGTCAGCCACTATCAGAAATACTAAATGCTTCAGACATAATCCCCCCCACCAAATTACTGCTCTCATGAGTTTAGAGGCCACTAGGGGCACTTTAATGTGATATACATCACAGATTCCAAACTCCTGCACAATGTTCTTAGCTTGTGAATAGAATAACACACTGTTAGGAGCCACCAGGCAGTGAGCTGCACTTAGCTTGTGTACGCACACCTTCACACTAGGCAGTCCACGTACTGAGAAAATAACTGCTGCACTCTAGAGTGCAAAGAGTCTAACCATGCATCATCTCTGAAGTCTCACTGAACCCACAATACTCAGTACTTGAGCTGGAAATTTTAATACTAGCTCACATGTGGCCACCTATATGCTACAATCCCAGTTTTGGGCCTCAGTGTACTCAAAAAACCTAGCAGACTTCCCATTGATACTTGTTTTTTTCTTAAACCCATACACAGTTTAGAAATCTGTGTGTGAAACATATCTAGCCTCCGCCTCACTGCATTTTAGAGGCGATAGCACCAGTTCAGAAATCACAACACTGACGACAGCACTGCTGTAGCTGGGTTTCCCCAGCTTGGCAGGTGCAGGAGATAGACTTCACTTTTCCTGCTCTCCCTCAGATGAAACAGCAGCTCAGAGATTTCATGCACTCCTCTGGGTATACCCTCCTTGTATCTTTCTGGTACAGAAAGGGTAGCACAAGCTTTGGTTTTCTCACCATTTCTCCCTTTCTATTATAACCCAGAAACCACCTGGACATCTGAGCAAATTGCAGAGAAAGCAGCACCGTGAAGTGACCACTGTCTGGGGATAAGCTGTTCACTTGGGGCAGACACAGTTGAACAAGCAGGGGTGAGCCTGGGACCACCATTCAAGCCACCTTGCTTTAGCTGATTAAGACTAGCCTTTACTTACCTTTTGGGAGGCTGTTCGTAGCTCAGCTAAGCTGGTAGCAAGATTCTTTGCACACTGACTTAGCTGCATTGCTGCTGCTTGATCAGTCACCGTGGGGACCGCAGCTTTTGCAGACGCCACCATTTTACTTCCAGGCTGTTTGAAGAAGAGCAGTGGACACAATGGGTTTTACTAGCTCGTTTTCTTTAAAGAAGGCCTAGGATTCAATAAACAAACCGCTTCCTCCATTCACACACTCAGGAGGTTTCTAGACTTTCTGTAATGACTATTTCACGCACTTCCTTGCTTCTCAGCCAAGCACCTTCTAGACCCCAGCATTTTATTCATATGCTGAACCCCATCGTAATTCCTCACTGCAGTGTCCTCTGCAGCAGGACTCATTTGTGCTTTACTAGTACAATGACTATGTCATGGGTTGTGTCTGCCTGAGGCCTTTCAGTACTGATGTAGACTAAAAAAATACTGAAACATGTAGATTTGCTGTTCAGCATCCATGTGGTACGAGCAGGTCCAGGTGGCACAGATGGCAAATTCGTCTCAATGTTTCTCAATACTAAACTCTGCCAAAATTCTATAAATTGAAACTCTTCACAGAGTTTGCTGCTAATACAGTTAAAATGCCTTAGTGATTGTCACCATCGCCATGGTGCCTACACAGCCAGAGAGGAGATGGATCATTTTAATGACTGGTTTCTTGTTTATTTCTTGTAAAATCACCAGTAAACCCAATAGTTTTGTTATTGATGCTTGGTATTTCTTCTATTTTTAAGATTCCTGGAAGAAGCATCAAGTCAAATTTTGTGTTTTGCTCAAAACTTCAGTCAAGATCCATTACGTACGCAGGCTAGTATTTAAAAGTCATGGTAATAAACACTTCATTTGTGAGGAATTTTTGAGCTTGTTGCTGCAACACTAACTTGACCTTCAAGAAATGCTAACACAGCATCTGACATACTCAGACTTCTGCAAAGAAAGATGCTGAATTCCATCTTGTTCTTTAAACTCTTTCC